ACACACACACACACACACACACACACACACACACACACACACACACAGAGAGAGAGAGAGAGAGAGAGAGAGAGAGAGAGAGAGAGAGAGAGAGAGAGATGAAACTTCCAGATATCCAAGCTAGAGAGTCTTGCCCAACTGGAGAATATTTTCATAGAACCCATTTAATTTAAGGCATTTCCCAGAGACTTCACTCCACACTCAAGGTCACCTGTCTATATGTAAACGGCAAGGCTAAAGAGGACCCTCCTCTCCCCGCCAGATCTGAAGCGAATCACTCACCCCAGCCCCGAAGCACGCTTGGTGCTGCACCTGCAGCCTCTCAAACCTGAATTTCTACCCCGACTTTCCTGGGGAATCCAACTGGCCACCAGCCTTGCACCCCGACCCTCTCCCCAAACTGGGCAAGTGTTGGTCTCTGCAGCAGCTGAAAGATGGGCTGGTATGAACACTCCATCAGGCTGAAAGGCTTCCAAGGGCTTCCCGAGAACCTGCCCTGCCATCTTTCCTGCTTTTTGTGGCGGTACAAGCCATCTCTCTCTCTCTCTCTCCCCCGGCGTCACAAAGCAGTGCTACCTCCACAGAAGGAAAACATTTGGGTAAAAGCAAGTTGCCCTTAATGTGCCTTCCCCCCCCCCCCAAATGTTGGGTGAATACCCTGGCTTTCATGAAAGTATTTAATTAGCTTCCACAAACTTCTTCCCTTGCCTGCAGATTATATTGAAGTGGAGGGTTGGAAACTAGTTTACACCTTGCCACTCACATGTTAATTAATCTGTATCTAACCCTAATTGCAGTTTATTCAAGCACTGCTCAACAGCTCACCCACACAATAAACACTGATCCTACTTTTATACATATTACTTCACGTTAACACATTGAGTAATTAACTCCAGTACCAACTAATAGTGCAAACAAATATTTTCTGTACACGAGATGATTTCAGGCAGAATAATAGACAACTGGGAAAATGTCGTACACGATGAAGAGGTGCAGAGATTCCCACTCCTCGCTTCCCCAAACCCTCCAAAGGCATGATCCCAGGACACACCCGTTTCTAAAGGACTGTGATTTCCTTTCAGACGAATATAGAAATTAAACGGGCAGAATTTTAGAGAGTTGGTGGAGAGGGTTTTGTGAGCTTAGGGATGACCTTTTTTAACCTGCGGGTTTTCAGTGCTGGGGAGGATCCCAAATGACTGCCCCTGTGTTCTACAGGAGGTCACTGGCTCTAAGCATGTTGGTCAAGCATGGTGCTCCATGCCAGAAAACCTGTTTTGGGAAACTTCCTACTTTCAAAACAAAACAAACAAACAAACAACAACAACAACAAAAGCCCCTTTCCTTTGAAATGGCAATTTCTCAGGGCCTGGTGACTTTCTAGGTTTACATGCTTTTCAAATCCAGACAGGCCACTAGCTCTACTGTTTGTACCAAGAAAGCAAGAGACAGGCTGCAAAGACCTGACCAGAAGGGGGTCTGTAGTCTGGATCTCTGAAAGGCCTACATGTCAGCTTCACTTTCTTGGACCCAGGGACTGGATTCATGGTGGGGGGGGGCGCAATCATGAGGACCTAACAGGCCTGTGGTCAGTGGACCAATCCATAGCATTCAGTACTTGGATCAACATGGTTTTGCCCAGTGGAAGGTCTCAGCTCCTGGCTGGTGCAAAAACAAGACTTTTGCTTCTTTTTCATCTGGTCTTGGCTTGGTCACTAGGAAGGAAACCCCACAGTGAGGCCTGGAGTGTCCCCAGAACCCAATACGTCCTATTTTTCACAACCGGGTCCAGCACCTCTCAGGCTCCAACTCGGTAATCCCAGGCCATGCCCAGACCAAATGTTGCTATGTGCACAGCACTGGCTAGGGATGTGTGCCCAACTCCAAAGACCAAACGCAGTGTTTTAATTGAAATCCCAGGCTTAAGCACAGCTGGCGGCTGCCTATTGATTTTCCTGGAGTTCTCTGGTAGGAAGCATATTAAATATGACTGGCCATACAAGGGTTTCGCCTGTCCCCTCCGCCCCTTCCCTCTGCCATTTTATGCTCGCTCACTCCAACCACTCTAATAATGACTATCTGCTTAAGAAAAAAGAAATCAATGCCAGAAATCGCCCACACTTTAGGACAAATTACTTAGCAGATGCCTTCCCGGAATGCAGACAACCTCAGAGGAAAATCCCTTTCTTGTGTAGAAGCTCACACATTCACACCGCTTCTGGCGCCTGTAAAGAAAGTATTTTGACTCCCAAAAGGTGCTGCAATTCTAGTCTAGGTGGCTGATGTCTCTTGGTTCTGGACAACAAGGGACACTTATTTTCAAATTATTAATATTATTTTCTCCAATAAAC